GGTGCCTCTGCCTTCGTTCACTCATTTACTGATTTACAGCATGCATCGAGCACCTGGTGTGTGCCAGGCTCCTACTATCATCAGGAGGGAAGACGGCCCTCAGCCAGACAGAGGGAGGAGCCCGGAGCCGGCAGGTGCGCTGCCGAACACCTGGCTGCCCGCCTTTGAGTCACATGATTCGCCGGCAACACCGCCTCACACGCACGCCCATGACCGAGGGCGGGGCGCTCCTGCTGGCATTTTGGGGAGGAGCAGCTTTGCACAGGGAAGGGCTAAGCACGCCGTTGGAGGACCACGCTGCCTGGGTTCGAATTGCAGCTCTGGGCCTCCGTAGCTCCGCGGCCTGGGGCCAGTCTGGTTCCTCCTCTGTGAAGCAGGAAGGAAGGATCCTCCCCCAGGGGCACCGGCCTGGAATCACGGAGCCCAGATGCAGGCCCTTAGCGCACGCTCAGTGCCCAGCTTGCACCCGCTTCTAAACCTGATGTTTTTTCTTTTCTCTCTGCTAGGGGAGCGGGGTGCAGTCATTTGCTAAAATGTGATAACCATGCTAGAAATGTAAGGAACGGGTTTCTAGGAGAACCGATCTATCCAGTACTTTAATATTTGTTTTGGGTGGCAGAGCCACAGAGCTGCGTGGATGCCCCTGGGACAGACGGGCTCGGTTCCCAGGTGCACAGAGGGGCTTTCGCCTGTGAGGCAGCTACAAGGAACCCAGGTCACTTTGCTCGGAGTCCAGAGCGGGAGACTGAGCTCCGGGAAGAGTGAGGGGGACTCCTGGGGCCACGGACGGGCTGGGGCCGGGACACGGAGGTCCACCTCGGAGCAGGGGTCTATGGGGCTGGAACAAGGCTAGGACACGGGGGCCGGTGCTATGGCACAGTGGGTTAAGCCATCACTTGTGACATCATCACTGCTTTGGGGCACTGGTTCAAGTCCCGGCTGCTCCACTTCTGATCTGGCTCCCTGCTAATGCTCCTGCTAATGCAGTGGAAAATGGCCCCAGTATATGGGCCCCTGCCACCCACATGGGAGACTTGGGTGGAGTTCTTGGCTCCTGGCTTCAGCCTGGCCCAGCTCTGCCGTTGGGACCATTTGGGGAGTGAGCCAGTGGATGATAGATCTCTCCCATCTCTGTCTCTGTGTCACTTTGCCTTTCGAATAAATGAAATAAATCTTAAAAAAAAAAAAAGTAGGACTCAGTGAGTGGGGTAGAGCGAGGGTCCCGCTCAGCCAGTGCCCCCAAGGAGCCAGTATACAGCACCAGCTGTATACCAGGCACCGTGCAAACAGCTGGGGTGGGGGCATACGACAACAGAGGCCATGGGAGAGACTGGGCTGTAACTGCTAAATCCTGAAAGTCAGAGAGTATGGATTAGGGCTGGGTCGTTCTCAGCCCAAGTCTGACCCGCACGTGGGTGGGCGAGAACAGCACCCGTTCCTCTGTCAGAAGAGCCACCCCCATTCCCCACCCACCCACCGGAAGTGCCCGCCACCACCCCCTTAAAACACCTGACAGCTCAGAGGTGGGGTGAAGGGCGACCCTCTAGGAGGGCTCAGGGTGTGTCTTCCCCACCTGGCACCTGCAGTGGCCGCCGCCCCCCTCCCAACCACACGTGCCCCAGACCCCGAGGAGTTTCCAAGATGGGCCTCCAAGGCGGATCCATGTCTCCCACTGGGCACAGGCAGGAGCCACAGGACCCCTGTGGGCCTCAGTTTCCCCTCCTGCGGAATGAGGGGGTGGGACTTAAGGACCTGTCCGTCTTCTGCACCATGTGGCCCTGCAGTAGAGTCAAGAGCTTTAATTGCAGGGTGGAAAAGGAAGCCCGGGTCTCAGGGCGCAGCCTGGGGGCTGAGCCAGGTCTGCAGCCGTCGGCCATCTGCAGGTCCCCGCTAGGCCCTGGCTGGGCCGCTGGCGGGGCGACACTTCTCAGAAGTGCGGGATGGGGTGCAGGTGTGGAGGGGGGACAGGGATGGCGTGCTCCCGCCTGGACATGGGGCACAGCGGCGGCCTGGGGTAGGACGAGGTGTAAACGCTCTCTCTCGGGCCGGCCTTGGACGCCAGCCAGCTCTGCCTCAGCCGCTCATAGAGGCCGTAGTTGGTGGGAGGTGCTGCAAGAGAAGGGGGGTCTGTGTGAGCAGGGCTTCGGTGAGTCCTGCCCCCGCTGGCCGCGCAGATGGCGCCAGGGGCCCTGGTTTGCCAAGGCTGCTGTGGGAGGGACCGCGGAAGGCAGGGCACCAGCATGAAGCCACGGCTTTGCAGGAGAGTGTCACAACCCAGTGCGAGAGTGCTCAGGACAGAGACCCTGGGGACGTGAGTCCCGCCGCATGGGGGTAGCCCTGCGGGCCCTGGGTAAACGTCCCACCCTAGCAGAGAGGGGGCAGTGTGGGCTGTGCCAGGGACACCAAGAAACCCAGGCAGGGGCAGGCGTTTGTTGGCACAATAGTTACGTCACCACATGGGACACCTGTATCCCTTGCTAGAGTGGCTGGTTGAGTCCTGGCTACTCCACTCCCGATCCAGCTTCCTGCTAATGCACACCCTGGCCGGAAGATGATGGCTCAAGTACTTGGGTCCCTGCCACCTGCATGGGAGACCCAGGCCAAATTCCAGGCTCCTGGCTTTGTCCTGGCCCAGCCCCAGACGTTCGGTCATTTGGGGAATGAACCAACAGATGGACGAGTCCCCCACCCCCCCACCCCGCCTTTCAAATACAAATGAAAATAAGTAAATACGAAAATTAAAATGAGGAGGAGGCAGCTGCCTTGTGCGGCAGTGGCTTAAGCCACCACTTGTGACGTCAGCATCCCATATCAGAGTCCCGGCTGCTCCACTCCCAATCCACTCCCTGCTAGTGCTCCTGGGAAAGCAGCGCGAGGTGGCCCCAGTGCTTGGGCCCCTGCACCCACGTAGGAGACCCAGATGGAGTTCCACGCTCCTGACTGCAGCCTGGCCCTGTCCCAGCTATCGCAAGTTCTTTCTCTGTCTCTCCCTCTTGGTCTTTGTCACTCTGCATTTCAAATAAACAAATCATCTTAAAAATTTCTGAAAACCCCTGCACCAGTGTGGAGGGAGGGATGCTCGGGCTCTGACCGAGGTCCCTTAGCAGGGAGAGGCAGAACCACAAAGAGCCGGCGATGCTCCGAGTCCCAGTCGGGGCGTGAGTGAGTGAAGTCTGCTACACAAGCCCCCTCCGGCTCTCGTGACTTGGGGCGGGGCAGGAGGTGTCCACGCCCCTCGCGGTGCCCGATGAGGCCCTCCCTAGTCCTGTTCCACACTTCCTTACAACTCGTCCACGTACCGCTCCCTCCCCCCAGGATGCTCTCCCCCTAGAGGCCTGCACGGCTCCCTCCTGCTCAGGCCGACTCCGGCCTCCAGAATGACCGTCCCTCTTCATCCCCAGGAGGCCTTGCGGACCAGAGGAGGGTCTCAGACCTCCACTCACTGGCTCACCATTCACCATGCTCTTCTCACAGCACGTCTCCGTGCCTGAAATCCGCTTACGTCCCAGACCTTGACTTATCTTATTCATGAATGGGGTCTTATCTGCTCCCGGTAGCAGATATTCCCAGGCGCTTGTCACCAGGCCCTACCGCCGGGCACAGCGCCCAGGAAGTAACCCATCACCGTTCTACAGGGAGAGTGCAGAGCTGTCCCAGTCACCTGCACTCCAGGTAAATGCGCCACTTCCCTGCGCAGGTTCCGGCGTCTCTACACAGCCCTCTGCCAAGGGAAGGGGATAGGCGGGCAGGGGGAGGTGGGACCAGGGCTCCTTTCCCTCCAAGCTCATCCCCCTGCCCTGCTGGAGCAGGACCCCGTGCGGGTGGCTCTGCGGAGCGGCCACGCCTCAGCCCTGGGCGTCCGGGCGCCCTTCACGGAGCCAGAAGTACCGAGAAGCGGGAAGTCGGCCTTCTCCGGCAGCCACAGCAGTTTCTGCGCGCTCCAGGTGCGCAGCGGCGGCAAGCCGGGGTTGTAGTTGTGCCGGTTGTAGTGGTCGTCATAGGTGCTGATCAGGCAGCGGTGCCAGGGCTCCTGGTGGTGGGTGATCAGGTGCTTGTACGGGAGCCCCTGGGAGGACAGACACGGGGACGTGTCACCAGCCACAGCAAGGCAGCCCTCGGGTGGGCGCTGGGTCTGGAGAAGTGGCCTCCCGGGGCTGGCGGTGAGCCCTGGGGTGGGAGATACAGCCCTGGGGTGGGAGACACGACCCTGGTTCCAGGAAGTTCTCTGTGGGTGCCACCGCCAGCCCTGGACAACTCCATGGTCCCTCCGCCCACAATGAGCCGTGGTGGTCGGGCTGCCCGGTGGGACGGTAGGAGTCGGAGGCGCCCCGCTTTGCATCCCCGAGATCTGGAATCCCAGCCTGGGAGTGGCCTCACATCTCACCCAGCCCAGGGCCGATTTGCAGGGCTGGTGGGAAGGTGGCAGCCACCGGTTCCTGTGGGAAGACCGGGCGCCTGGCCGTAAATCGCCTGCCTTGGCGAAGGATTTACGGCTCCCCCAGCTGGAGCCCAGGGCAGCGTGTCTTTGGGGCGGAGTTATTTATGGGGAGAAAAGCAGCCACCACCCCTGGCTCTGGGGCCCTCGCCTGAATTGACGGTTTTCCTAAGAAAATCCTCTCAGCCTGGAAGGGAGCGCTGGGGGCCTGGGCTGATTTACGGGCAGGACGGGGCTGGGGGCCTCGCCTGCCCTCTTGTCTGGAGCCGACGGGAGGTCTGGGTCTCCTGACGCCCACGGACCCCGGCTGCGCCCAGGATTTCTGGTGACATAAATCAGTCAGACCACAACTCCAGAGGGCGCATGGGGGACCAGCCCCAAGATCTGCATCAACAGGCGCCCCGTGGTCTCTCCCCGCGGCCAGGTTTCCCATCCACATGGGCCTGGGGGCCAGGATGGGGCACAGGGTCGGGGGGAGGGGCAGGACGAATTCTCTGGTGCTTTCTCGTGGCTCCCAGCGTGGCCCTGCTGAGTGGACTGATTGTGTACCTGGGATGTTGTATTCAGATACATAAGGGGACAGGTAAGGGGACAGGTAAGGGGACAAATGCCCTGGTAGGGCAGCCAGGCCAGGCAGGGCCACCCAAGGGTGGGGGGCGGGAGGACCAGCACCGAGGGCCCAGGCCTTTACTGAGCTTGCCAAGGGAAAGGGGAGTAGGCGAGAGCAGGCTGGGACCACAGAAAAGCCGTCTGCAGGCTCTGGGCTGGGGGTGGTCTGGCTGTCCTGGCCCTGGCCCGGCCCTGGCAGGAGCTGCTGTGTGGGAGACAGGTGGAGGAGGGGGTCGGGGTGCGTGTGGCCAGCACAGCGCTCAGAGCCTGCTGCTGTTCCCGCACACAGAGGAGCAACAGACGGAGGGCACCTGAGGTCTGACTTGGCCAGCAGTGACCTTGCGGGTCCCTTGCCACAAAGCTGCTCATCGCTGGACACACCTGTCCCCCCGTGGGTGTGGGGCAGCACCCTGCTTCCTGCTCCATGTGTTTGGGACACAGCACGATGTGTAGACGGGCACCCCAGGCATGAGGCGTGGGCGTGGGTGAGAGGCAGGAGCACAGTGGACAATGACGGGATTACTGCCCCGGCTCTGGGACCTCAGCCCCAACCTTTTGTGGCTCCCAGCTTCCGTGGCCGTACTCTGTGGGAAGCGTGTGACCCAGGAGCTGGGGTACGGGTTGGTGGGGGCGGGGCTGTGGCCAGTGTGGGTCAGACACGTGGTCTACCCTCACGGGGAACTACGGGCTACTGCAGTCGGCAGCACCTACACCGGGAGGGATCTGTGAGATCCCGGGAGGATTCCAGCCTTCGAGGAGCCGTGGGTGGACCCGAGCTTCGGGAGGGCCCCAGGCCGCAGTGCGGGACCCCTGCTCGCCCTCACCTCGACTTTCCTCTTCCCGTACCACCTGGAGATGAGGTCCGGTCTGTGGTCCGGGACGGGGACGTACTCTGCTCTGTAAAGGCTCTGCGGTGTCTTCTCGGTGGCTCTGGTGAACTGAGGGAGACCAAACATCGAGGAAGACCCCCGAGGTCTCTCCGGGACCCTCCCCCCACGGAGCCCCTGGCAGACGGGTTGAGGGTGAAGCCAGAGCTCCCTGTCCACACCCTCGGGGAGGCACCCTCGGCTCCCCTGCCCCCTTCTCCCGGCTCCCACCTGCTGCCTTCCTCACGCCTGGCTCCTCTCTGCCACTCACCGCCTCCCTCTCTTTTGCCTCTGTGTTGCTCATTCTCTGTTTCCATTAGATTACGCTTCTGATTGGTTCTCTTAAGACATAACGTGGTCAAGTATGCACGCCGTACAGCTTACCGTGGAGGTTCTGGGGCACTAAGCACTTTCACATCTCTGCATAGCCGTCACCGCCATCTGCCTCCGAACTTGTCTCCCAAAACCGAACCTGTGTGCTCACTAAACAGTCTCCACCCTCCCGCTTCCCCGAGCCATCGCGCCTCTCCCACTGACGACTCTCCGTCTGTGAATGTGTCTATTGCTAGTATCTCACAAATGCAGTCACGTAATATTTGCCTTTTTGTGTCTGACTCATTTTACTCAGTGTGTTTGAGACTCAGCCACATTGTAGCAATCGCCATAACTTCCTTCCTCTTCAGGGCTGCATAATATTCCTGTGTGTGTGTGTGTGTGTGTGTGGCATTTTATTTAACAACCATCGCTGGTACACACCCTTGCCAGGTCCTGTGGATGACTTTGCTATGAGTGAGTTTTTTTGAGTCCCTGTTTTCAATTCGCTGAGGTCTGCACCTGGAAGTGGCATTGCTGGATTGTATGGGAGTTCTGTGTCTATATTTTTAATAACTGCCGTATTGCTACCCACATGGCTGCACTGTTTTGTATTCCCATCAGCAACACATGAGAGTTCCTTTTCCTGGTCTTTGTCAACACTCCTGATTTGCTAAGGGTGGAGGTGGCATCTCCGTGTGGTTTGACTTGCGTTTCCCTAGTGATTAATGGTGTTGGACATTTGTTCATGTGACCATTTCTTAGACATTTGCAGCTCTTCACTGGAGAAAGGTCTACTCAAGTCCATTGCCCATTTTAAAATCAGCTGGCATGGATATTTGTTGTTAAGTTGTGGAAGTATTTTTATATATTCTGGATATTAATCCTTTATCAGAAAGTTGTAAATATTTCCTCCCATATCATCGTTGCCATTTTTATAATGTCTTTTGGTGCAAGAAAGTTTTTCTTTCTTTCTTTATGTGAAAGTAGAGTGAATGAGAGAGAGAAAAGGAGAGAGAGAGAGAGAGAGAGAGAGAGAGAGAGAGAGAGAGAGAGAGAATCTTCCATTTGCTGTTGCTTCTCTCTCCAAATGACCACAACAGGTAGGTCTGGGCCAGGCTGAAGGCAGGAGCCCACACAGATGGCATGGGCCAAAATACTTGGGCCACCTTCCACTGCCTTCTCTGGCACACTAGCAGGGAGCCGAATCTGAAGTGGAGCACCTGGGACTCGAACCAGCGCTCCGATGTGGGATGCCAGCATAGCAGATGGTGGCTTAACCAACCACATCCCAACACCAGCCTCCTTACTTCTATTTCGAATGAAGTCCAGTTTATCTGTTTCTTCTTTTGTTGTTTTTACTTTTAGTGTCATAGCCAAGAAATCATTGCCAACGCTAACATCGTGAAGGCGTTCCCCTAGGTTTTCCTCTAAGAATTGTGTAGTTCTAGCTCTTACGTCTAGGTCTGTGACCCACTTGTTAGGCAGGTGTCCAGTTGCACATGCTGTGTGTGGAATCCAGCTCCCGACACTGCCTGCTGGGGACCCGTCGTTCCCATGGAGTAGCATGGCACCCTTGTTGAAACTCTGTGTGTTACCAGTTTTTTCTAAGCTCTCTCTCTGGTTCCATTTGTCTATGAATCTGACTTTCTGTCAATATCCCAGTGTCTTGATTGCTGTAGATTTGTAATGTTTTTAAGTCGGGAAATGTGAATTCTCCAACTTTGTTCTTTTTCTTTTCTTTCTTTCTTTTTTTTTTTTTTATTTCATGATATCAAATTTTATATATAATAGCTTCTTGGACAGGCAGAGTGGACAGTGAGAGACAGAGAGACAGAGAGAAAGGTCTTCCTTTACCATTGGTTCACCCTCCAATGGCCGCTGTGGCCAGCGCACCGCACTGATCCGAAGGCAGGAGCCAGGCACTTATCCTGGTCTCCCATGGGGTGCAGGGCCCAAGCACTTGGGCCATCCTCCACTGCACTCCCGGGCCACAGCAGAGAGCTGGCCTGGAAGAGGGGCAACCGGGACAGAATCCGGCGCCCCGACCGGGACTAGAACCCGGTGTGCCGGCGCCACAGGCGGAGGATTAGCCTTTTGAGCCGCGGTGCCGGCCCAACTTTGTTCTTTTTCAAGATTGCTTTGGCGGTTTCGGGGTCACCTGAATTTTAGGATAGAATTTCTCCATTTCTACAAGTAAGTTAATAGGGTTTTGTAGGTATTGCATTGAATTCGCAGATACTTTTGCATGGTGCTGAGGTATCAGCCACTGAGTTCTCCCACGGTGAGCACGGGGTGTCCAGGCGTCACTCCGTCTATTTGTCGTCCTCGGTGTTCTCGTCAGTGTCTGCAGCTTCCAGGGTGGAAGGCTTCGTCTCTTCGGTGAAGTCTGCGCTGAAGTCTCCTGCTCTTTCCCACTGTTTTGTGATGAACTGGATTTGTTTTGCTTTGCTTTAAAAATTTAATATTTATTTGAAAGACAGAGTTACAGAGAGGTAGAGGCTGAGAAAGGGGGTGGGGGGGAGAAAGAGAGAAACCTTCCATCTGCTGGTTCACTCCCCAGATGGCCACAAAAGCCGGAGCTGCACTGATCCGAAGCCAGGAGCCAGGTGCTTCTTCCAGGTCTCCCACGTGGGTGCAGGGGCCCAAGCACTTGGGCCATCTTGTACTGCCTTCCCAGGCCATAGCAGAGAGCTGGATCAGAAGTGGAATAGCCGGGACTTGAACCGGCGCCCATATGGGATGCCAGCACTTCAGGCCAGGATGTTAACCCGCTGTGCCACAGCACCAGCCCCTTTATTTATTATTTCTAACAGTTTCTGTGTGTCTATGAGAGAGAGAAAGAGAGAGAGGGAGGAAAAGAGAGATCTTGATTTTTAGGGTTTTCTACGTATCAAAATCATGACATTCTTCCTCTCCAGTGGGATGCTTGCCTGTTTCTTTCCTAGTTGTTCTGGCTGGAGCAGAAGGGGAGGAGCCTGGATCTGATCCCAGCCTTCTGATGGGGGAGGTCACGTCCCAAGTGGTGGTGTAACCCGCTGTGTCACAACACCTGCCCCGGAGAGGTCATTGTATCCCTGTAAGCACTTTAAAAATAAATCCTGATACCAACGTAAGTTGCATACAAAATTCCACTCCTTTATAGCTCTGCCTCCCCCACTTCATGTTCTTAAAGTGTCAGAAACTACATCTTTATATACCAGGTACACATGTATACAGATATAGAACCTTGTATGCATTTGTTTTCTAAATTCTGTAGCAAATAAAGAGTGAAGGTCCCAGCGCTGTGGCGTAGCAGGTAAGGCCACTGCCTGCAGTGCCGGCATCCCACATGGGTGCCAGTTCAAGTCCTGGCTGCTCCACTTCTGATCCAGCTCTCTGCTATGGCCTGGGAAAGCAGTAGAAGATGGCCCAAGTGCTTGGGCCCTTGCACCCACGTGGGAGACTTGGATAGAATTCCTGGCTCCAGGCTTTAGCCTGGCCCAGCCCTGGGCCGTGTAGTCATGTGGGTAGTGTGCCGGCAGATGGAAAAATCTATTTCTCTCTGGGTCTCGCACTCTCTCTAAAACTCTGCCTTTTAAATAAACAAAATAAAGCTTTAAAAAATACTCTCTTTTGTCTCTGGCTTTCGATTTGATTATAATGTACGTCAACGTGGGTCTCTTGCGAGTTACCCTGCTAGGAGGTCATTGGGCTTCTTGGGTTTGCAGATCCATGTATTTTCTCACATTCGGGGGGATTTTTTGACCATTATGCTTTTTTAAAGATTTATTTTGTTTATTTGAAAGAAAGAGTTACAGAGAGAGGGAGAGAGAAAGAGAGAGAGAGAGAGAGAGAGAGGTGTCTTCCATTCACTGCTTTACTCCCTAGATGGCTGCAATGGTCAGAGCTGCGCCAATCCAAAGCCAGGAACCAGGAGCTTCTTCTGGGTCTCCCACACAGGTGCAGGGGCCCAAGGACTTGGGCCATCTTGTACTGCTTTCCCAGGCCATAGCAGGGAGCTGGATCGGAAGAGGAGCAGCTGGGACTAGAACCGGCGCCCATATGGGATGCCGGTTGCTTCAGGCCAGGATGTTAACCCGCTGCGCCACAGTGCTGGCCCCTGACCATTATGCTTTCAAATAATCTCTGTGCATCTTTCTCTTTCTTCTCCTCTGCAGTTCCCTTAGTGAACACACTGATCGGCTGGGTGCTGTCCCAGAAGTCCCTTGGGCTTTGTTCTCGGGGACTGCCTGATTCTGCCATTGACCCCCTCCATTCAGCTTTCCAATTCACTTAATGTATTTTCTACCTCCAACATTCCAGCTTGGTCCCTTTTTGTAATTTCAATCATTTCTCATATTCTCATTTTATTCGTATGCTGTCCTCTCAGTTTCATGTAGTTCTTTGGGTTCTCCTGTAGGCTCTTTGTGCATATTTAAGTACTTCATGGAGAGTTTCTGGTACTTTATTTTCTGCCTTTGGATGGACTCTGCTTTCCCACCTCTGTATAAGCCTGGCAATCTGTTGAAATGGGGCATTTGAGGAAACAGACTCCCATGGTCTGCAGATTGCCTCCGTGAGAGGGAGGAGTTTCTCGAACTATTAGGTCACGTTCTGAGTCTTGGGGTCAGCCCAGTATGAAGTTGAAGGTGTTCACAGGCCCCCTCTGTGTGTACAGCTTGCCTGGACCTGTGTGTGCCTTTTCTGACTCCCTCACATACGTGGCTACTTTTCAAGGTCATAATTTCCCCAAGAGTCGCACCCCTCCTTCTTGGCGTTTCTGCTGTCCTGTTGAACTCTTCCACCTGTGATCTCATCGCAGCCTGCAGTCCCCTGTCAGCTCCAGCGGTTTACGTCTGCCTCTGCTTTCCACAGTTGTCCCCACCTGGGGTCTGAACTATCCCCCTCTTCCCCTTCTGAACTGCAAGTTAGGTGAAACCAAGACCAGTCCCTCGGCAGCCCCAGACAGGTTCGGATGCTCTTCTACACCCTCCAGGCTTGAAGCGGGGACCTGGGAACCAGGGTAGCCACTTCCCCCAGAGCACCTGCACTGTGCTGTGCTGGCAGGGAGGGGGGGCAAGTTAAAATGCTGTGGGAATTCCTAGCACTGAAAACCGCTTCCGGTTGAGTGGGGCATTTGATCAGCCACCGTGGACTTAGACTGTCTTCCAGAGCCCACATGCATTTTGGCCAGTGTTTAAATGTCTCCGGGGAGAACGAAGACTCAGACGTCTTAGCCCACCACCTATTCACCTCCCTCCAATTCTGCTGTCTTGATGCCATCTGCTCTGGGTGTGAGAGAAGCCCACACCATCCCCGAGTCTGGGCACTGCCTGGTCAGTCTAGCCTATCCTCAGAACATCACTCACACACACCTGCTCCCCAAACAAAGCCAAGCACAACTGGAGCTGATGGTGGCCCAGGCCATGCCCGGTCCGAGGGGTGGTGAGTGCTCACATCCTCTGTGAAACGGCTTTCACGCCTCCCAGAGGTCACTGTCACCCTTCCTCCCCCTTCCCCACACCGATTCTCTTTTACCCTCTTCTTGCCCATTTCCCGAGAAGAGGTGAGGGTGTCTAGATGTCTCTGAGAAACTTGAAGTGGCTTGCTGGCCACAAATGAAGACACCCAATTTCAAATAGGCCAAGTCAGGCAAAATAGTTCCCAGTGCTTTTGAAAGCACAAAGGATAATTCTGCCATTTCTTTGCTGTGCAATAGCTCGGAAAGTCAGCTCTGTTTAAAGGAGCAGACTTGATAAGCAAGCAAGGAAATGTAATTTGAATTATAAAATTCTTGCTTTAGTAAAAATTCCTTAGTGAAAAAAAAAGCACAAAGCCTATTTGTTCCATTTTGAAAGGAAACATTGAAATGCACACGCAGGTGAGATGATGTAACAGGTGCCAGGCAGCAGTAGCACAGCCCTGGACATCAGTGAAGAGAGCGCCAAGCCTGCCTCACAGGTGCCGCTTTGTGGAAGGAGCCAGAGCAGGAGGAGCAGACGTTCTTCACATCAAGGCGCAAAGGAACCGGGGACCAAAGAGATCCAGTCGCCTAGGAACACTCCATGGAGAGTGGGCTGACGGACACAGCCCCAGCCACACCCCTGCACGGTATGTTCAAGCTGCCGTGGGGACCCTGAGGGTTGCTTTATGTAGCCCCCTTAGCTAGAGCACAAAGACCCCAACGCTGGGTTCTTAAGATGCAGCCACCTGCTGCCCTCTATTTCAAAGTAGTGATGAACTTGACTCCCCGTCAGTCCCCCGGGAGCCCTCTGCCCAGCCCCCTGCCCCCTTACCTTCCTCCTCTCTTCCACCCAGTTTCCCGTGAGCACTCTGGTCGAATACTTGGTCTCGATCTTCCAGCCTGGTGTAGAGAGTGACTGTGGATTTACTGCCGTCAGGAACATGCTAAGGCTCTGTCCCAGGTGTGTGGGAGTCCAGGGAGGGAGGACGCTAGGAGAGGCTGAGTCTGGGTGCTCAGCTGCCCTCCTGAGTGAGTGGTGGTGGATGGCACCTGCTACCTCCAGGGAGCAAAAGGGCCCTGAGAGTCCACTTGCAGCCTCCAGGGGGCGGTGCCGGGATCTTGGATTCTCTACTGTTGACTGTCTCCATGGTGACGGGCGCTGGGTATAAATACTCTAGGGGAGGGAGCAGCTGACTCTGCAGGGGTGAAATCGAAGCCACGAAAGCAATCAGACCAGCAGCCGCCACCACGAAAGCACTGGGGCTCCGGGGTGTCACCCAGGCAGGACATGTCCTTGCTGGAGTTTGACGGCCGGGTGAGTTGAATTCTACGACTGCTTGACCAGCTCTGATGTGCTAGCCTGGTGCTAAGACACACACAGGTATTCACGCACTCAATACTGCAGCCTCACCGGGGAGCAGGTGCCATTACTGCTCCCGTTTTACAAATGAGGACACTGAAGTAGGTGCCCCAAACACACAGCTGCCACACAGGGAGCTGGGAGTTAAATCCACTCTGGTTTAGGCCAAACCACTGGGCTCCCATCATTGCCTGTTTGCCACTTTGCCTAAGGGGCTTTAGGAGAACCCTGTCTTTCTTTTTTAAAGTTTTATTTACTTGGAAGGCAGAGTTACGGTGAGACAGAAAGATCTTCCGTCTGCTGGCTCAGTCCCCAAATGACTGCGATGGCAAAGGGCTGGGGCAGGTGAAGCCAGGAGCCAGGAGCTTCATCTCGGCCTTCGACCCAGGCGGCAGGGGCCCAAGTACATGAGTCTTCCGTTGCTTTCCCAGGTGCATTAGCAGGGAGCTGCCTCGGAAGTGGGGCCGCTGGGACTCGAACCTGCACTCACGTGGGATGCCCGTGTTGCAGGCAGCAGCTTAACCCACTGCACCACAATGCCGGCCCAGAATTCTTATTTTTTTCTTGCACCGAAGCAATGTGGTTCATTCAGTCGAACTTCATGGTATCCACAACCATTTCCCAGCCCGTGCTTTGGGCGCTGAACTGGGGCTGCAAGGCATCAGGGACTGCACCCGGGCCCCATCCCCACAGGGCTCAGCCCAATGGAACTAAATGTTATTTTACTTATTTGTTAGCCACCCAGATACCCATTCTCAGAGGGCCGGGCCAATAGGCTATGGCGCAGCCGTGCCCTGAAGTGCTCTGCCTCTAGTAAATACGGCTACGGTGACACTGCTGACAGCCCGTGCCTGAGTGACAGCTGCACGGCTCTGTGTGTCGTCACTGTGCCTGGTGCAGATGGAGACATCGGATTCCAGTGGGAAGTTCAGAGATTGTTTTCCAAGGAATACCTGGAAGCTATTTGCTTTGGCTTAAAACTAACTTGGGGCAGGAAAAGGCCACTGGAGCTGTACTATCATAGAGTAACGCAAATCTCTACTGGGAGTGACCTCCCTCTGGGCGTGATGGGAGCCAGGAAGAGGGCACGTCCTTCCAATCACAGTGCGGGGAACCGTGTGTCCTGTATCATTGCATTTCCTTTTTATTTTTTTAATTTATTTATTTGAAAGAATGGCAAAGAGAGTTAGAGACAGAGAAAGGTCTTCCATCTAGACTGAAGCCAGGAGCCAGGAGCTTCATCCAGGTCTCCCACATGGATGCAGGGGCCCAAGTACTTGGGCCATCCTCCGCTGCTTTCCCAGGTGCATTAGCAGGGAGCTGGATCGGAAGTGGAGCAGCCAGGACTTGAATGGGCGCCTACAGGGGATAACGGAGCTGCAGGCTGTGAGCTAACCCACTGTGCCACAGCGCCGGCTCCCGAGAGTTCTTAGCATCAGGCACACGTGTGTGGAGCCTCCCTGCAAGGGCGCCCCTCAGTGTCATTCGGCTTTGACATAGTGACCCCGCTGGTCCTGACAGCTGCACACAGTGGTGGCCACAGCGGTTCTGCGCTCGGCATCTGTCTCCTGGCGCCCAGTACAGCCGCTTCTCTAGGGCAGCGGTTCCCCACTTATGGTCTCAGGAACTCTTTAGTCACAAAAATTGTTGCGGACCCGTGGTTTTCTCCTCCTCCTCTTCCCCCTCCTCCTCCTCCTCCACTTCCCCCTCCTCCTCCTCTTCCCCCTCCTTCTCTTCCTCCTCCTCCTCCTCTTCTTCTAAAGGTTCATTTATTCAGCTGAGAGGCTGAGTGGCAGAAAGAGGGAGGAGAAGAAGAGAGAGAGACAGACAGAGAGAGACAGAGAGAAAGAGACAGAGAGAAAGAGATATCTTAAATCTGCTGGTGCACCTCCTCAAATGACAGCAACAGCTGGGGCTGGACCAGGCAGAAGCCAGGAACCAGGAGCTCCACCTGGATCTCCCACATGGGTGCCAGGGCGCCAGGGGGCCAAACACCTGAGCCATTCTCTGCTGCCTTCCCAGGCACATTAGCAAGGGACTGGATCAGAAGCAGAGCAGCCAGGACTCAAACCTGGAGCTCTGATATGGGATGCCGGGTTCCGCTTGCCACAATGCTGCCCCTCCCCACCCTTTTGCAAATGTGGGTTATTTATGTATTTATTTGTTTGAGAGGTAGAGTGACGGACAGAAAGAGGTAGAGACAGAGAGAGAGATCTTCCATCCACTGGTTCACTCCCCAGATGGCCACAATAGCCAGAGCTGAGCCTATCCGAAGCCAGGAGCTTCCTCCGGGTCTCCCACATGGATGCAGGGGCCCAAGGACTTGGGCCATCTTCCACTGCTTTCCCAGGCCATAGCAGAGAGCAGGATCGGAAGAGGAGCAGCCGGAACACAAACTGGCGCCCAAATGGGATGCCAGTACCACAGGCAGAGGCCAAAACCTACTACGACATAGCGTCAACCCTCTAAATTTTAAACAGTGGTGCTGGAACTGGGTCAGCACAGCTCATAAAACCAATTGTGATCAGGCCAGCGCTGTGGCACAGTTGGTTAATGCCCTGGCCTGAAGTGCTGGCATCCCATATGGGTGCCAGTTCTATTCCCGGCTGCTCCTCTTCCAGTCCAGCTCTCTGCTGTGGCCTGGGAAAGCAGTGGAAAATGCCCCAAGTCTTTGGGCCCCTGCACCCACATGAGTGACCCAGAAGAAGCTCCTGGCTCCTGGCTCCTGGCTCCTGGCTTCAGATCAGCACAGCTCCGGCAGCTGCGGCCAATTGGGGAGTGAACCATCAGATGGAAGACCTCTCTCTCTCTCTCTCTCTCTCTCTCTCTCTCTCTCTGCCTCTCCTCTCTCTGTGTAACTCTGACTTTCAAATAAAAATAAATAAATCTTTTTTTTTTTAAAGAAAGCCAATTTTTATCTCTTAAACCCCATTCCATGAAGTCTCACTGGTGGCCTGGAATCAGTCGCCACGGGACTATTTACACCACAGAACTGGCCAGCTCTACGTATGAGGTCTTGCTGATTTTGTCCCAAGAGCCAGTTTGTATTGGTTATGGCATCCATGTTCCCCAGAGTAGAAATTAAAGCAGACATTTCAAACACACTTATTTCAAGAATAACAAAAAAAACTCATGCATGTTAACATAACTCTTTTGTTTTTGAAGGAAAATTAACTTTATTTTCCAAACCAAAATTTAGCGAGAAGAGTGGCATGCTTTAGGTTTTTGCAAATATGCTTTGAACAAATATGTTCCCGAGTGATGCGGGTGAGAGCCACATCTTCTGTGATTCACTCCAAACTCCTCTGAGTCATGCTGAGTTTGTGCTACTGAAGAGACTCGCGGTAAACCCCCAGGCAGCTCAGGGTGAGGGCTGATCGCAGAGGAACCAGCCTTGTGATCAGGGACGTGGACCGTCAGCCACACCCCATGACTTCATGGAGGTGGGGGGCTGAGGATGGAGCTGCTCACCCATGTCCAGTGGTGTCATCAATTGTGCCTACACAGTGAAGCCTCCGTTAAAAACCCTAATGAAAGGCGTTCAGAGAAGTTCTGACTTGGCAAAGGGCACTCAGGCTGGGAGGGTGGTGCACCCCAAAACCAGCAGGGTGGGTGGTTCTGTGCTTGGCACCCTTCCAGACTTCACTCCACATACGTCTCCATCAGGCTCATAACATCATACCCGTTATCGTAAACCAGTAGTGGGAGGCAAGGTGTTTCCTCGAGTCCCGTGAGTGATTATAGCAGAGTATTGAACACGGAGGGGTCATGGGCACCCCTGATTGGCAGCCAGGTCAGACAGAAGTTTGGGTACCTTGATGACTGCTACTTGTGGCTGGCATCTGAAGCGGAGCACCTTGCCTAAGGGGTGTGTGTGCTCTCAGAGCTGGAGTGGATGGGAGGACACCAGCCAGCGTCTGCAGAGCACTGGAGAGCTGCCGGTGCGGACCAGCCTCACGACTGGCATCAGAGGTGTCGTGAGTACGGCTGGCATCAGAGGTGTCGTGAGTACAAACAGCTGCTCAGTGTGGCACACCCGCTGCTACACCAGTGCTCAGCGAGGGGCCGTCGCTGAAGGGGAGCTGTAGCGTGGAATCTGAAGCTACTCAGCGGGCTCCCTGAGCTGTCACAGGAAAATCTATTGGCTGATTTGGGGCTTTGACTAAGTTATTCACCCATTCGTGACTTTGGGATGCGGTGATGGTCATTTGGAGAAACTTGCTTTACTGAGCTGTGTGGGCCTCCTGCAAACCCGCTTTGTTCTACACACGCAAAAAGCACATGGAAAACAATGTGCAGATTTAAAAAACATTTTGCAGCGGCCGGCGCTGTGGCTCATTAGGCTAATCCTCTGCCTGCGGCGCCAGCACCCCGGGTTCTAGTCCCGGTTGGGGTACCAGATTCTGTCCCGGTTGCTCCTCTTCCAGTCCAGCTCTCTGCTGTGGCCTGGGAAGGCAGTGGAGGATGGCCCAAGTGATTGGGCCCTGCAGCCCATGGGAGACCAGGAGGAAGCACCTGGCTCCTGGCTTCGGATCGGCACAGCGTGCTGGCCATTGCGGCAGTTTGGGGAGCGAACCAATGGAAGGAAGACCTTTCTCTCTCTCTCTCTCTCACTGTCTAACTCTGCCTGCAAAACAAAAACAAACAAACAAACAAAAAAAAAACCATTTTGCACCAAAATAAACTTATTTTTAATTCCATTTTCCACAGACTTTTTTTTTTTTTTTTTTGACAGGCAGAGTGGACAGTGAGAGAGAGAGAGACAGAGAGAAAGGTCTTCCTTTGCCGTTGGTTCACCCTCCAATGGCCGCCACGGCTGGCGCACCACGCTGATCCGATGGCAGGAGCCAGGTGCTTCTCCTGGTCTCCCATGGGGTGCAGGGCCCAAGCACCTGGGCCATCCTCCACTGCACTCCCGGGCCACAGCAGAGAGCTGGCCTGGAAGAGGGGCAACCGGGACAGAATCTGGGGCCCCGACCGGGACTAGAACCCGGTGTGCCGGTGCCGCAAGGCGGAGGATTAGCCTGTTGAGCCGCGGTGCCGGCCCTCAATAAAACAATTTTTAATATGAAAAAAAAAAAAAAGCCCAGCTAATTCAGCGCACAACGGGAATGATCACGCACCTGCCGTTTGTCGAGGGCGGCAGCAGCTCCTCCGCATCTCCCTCCCGTGTCGCAGCACACACGCGGCTAGCAAGTTGTCTGCGCATTTTCACATCTTCATCAAAGACATTCTCTCTCTCTCTCTCTTTTTTTCTTAAGATTTTATTTAAGAGGTAGAGTTACAGACAGTGAGAGGGAGAGACAGAGAGATATCTTCCATCCATTGGTTCACCCCCCAAATGGCCGCAACAGCTGGAGCTGGACCCATCTAAAGCCAGAAGCCAGAAGCTCTTCTGGGTCTCCCACACATGTGTACAGGGGCCCAAGGACTTGGGCCATCCTCTACTTCTTTCCCAGGTCATAGCAGAGAGCTGGAT